AGAGCGTAATGCCCTCCGTACTCTCAAATTCAGCTGCTCCACGGGCAAAATGGTCAATTCCACTGAGGCTGATCTTTGGCTCCTCTGGCTGGAGAACCATGACGTAGCCTTCAGTGTCAGGCACGGAGATGCACGTCTCCTCATTGAAGCATCTGAAGAATTACAAAGGAGGTAAATTATAATATATTCATCATTATGAGTGCGCTAAAAGTATGAAAAAAATCATTCCGTTTCATTATTAGCTTTTCCATATACTGTGTTATTCTGGAGCAATAATGTTTCAAAGTGGGCGGGGCTAGCTAATGTGAAGCAGCTGAACTGAAATGATGGAAACTAACTTGACAGTGGTGGAGACGCGCAGATGGCGGATTCCTGGGGTGGGGAACTGCCGGGAGTTCAGGTAGGAGATGTGCTGCATGACTTTCTCAAAGCTCTCAATGTCATCTCCCTCCAGGCTCAGAGAAGACTGGTTGGGGTTGAACTCCACCTAGAGAGAGACAGAGAAACATACATCCATTTGGTTAACCTTGGAAACACAAATTAAGATATGTTTAATGAAATCTGCTCTATGTATGTGTATCTATCATTGTTTAGATGTTAAATTGATTCCGTTTAGAACATAAAGCGATCACATCTCTTCAAAAGACTTGTGTTAAACCGCACAATTCATATTGATTCATTTTACTATGCCTTTATGAACTTTCTGGAGCTTCTAAATTTTGGTTACCTGGATTTTCAATGGAGGGGCAAAAACCTTTATTGTTTGTTTAAAAAATACTTTAATTTGTGTTTTAAATAGTAACCAAAGTCTTATGGGTTTAGAACGACACGAGGGTGAGAAAAATGACAAAAGTTTCATTTTTGGGTGAACTATCCTTCTGACAAAAATTGTGAATATTAAAAATAATTTTTGGGAATTAAAATGAGGCTGAAATAAATAAAATAAAATAAATATTAGATGAAAACCTTTAAAAAAAATGTTCAAGTACTTAAACTATTAAAATTGCTAAAAGTATAACTGAAATAAAAATAAATTAAAGCTACATGGCAATATTAATAATAAAAACAAAAGCACATATCAAAATTACTACATTTAAAAGAAAACTGAAAATATTAAAATAAAAGCTAATTCTAAATATTTATAAATACTATAATAGTGTATAAATAATAATAAAATAACACTGATGTTCAATGCCTGTCGCTTTGACAAAATAAAAATTGAAATTGAAAATATAAAATAAACCCTCATTTAAAATACTAATAAATACTATAATAGTGTAGAAATAATAAAATAGTAACATTACTGTTCAGTGCTTGTCGCTTTGACAAAAATTAAGACTGAAAATATAAAAATAAATCTTAATTTAAAATAATAAATACTGTAATAATTTATAAATAATAATAAAATAACACTGATGTTCAATGTTTGTCTCTTTGACAAAATAAAATGAAAAGAGAAAATATAAAAATAAAAGCAAATTTAAAATATTCATAAATACTATAATAGTTTATAAATAACAAAATAACATTGATGTTCAGTGCATGTCGCTGTTTGACAAAATAAAATTAAAACAGAAAATCTTAAAAGCTAATTTAAATATTCATAAATACTACACTAGTGTATAAATGATACTAAAATAACACTAGTTTTAACGCATGCCACTCTATGACAGTATTTGTTATTTTGAAGTAAATGAGCTTTATTCTCAGACCTCAGACCTCCGTTTTTTTATTGTTTTACAAACTGAAATGATTTTCTCTCATAATCTGCATTAATAACGTTCCACGTTCCTTCAGGCATGAGACTGGAATCTAAAAGGGGTGGTTGACTGGCATTTTTCTAGGCTTGATTGTGTTTATGGGGTGCAGTCTAACATGTGTTAATGCTTAGTTTGTTAAAAAACGCATTATTTTTCACATTATTTACCTTTATTCCACACCGCTCTGTCCCTTCTCCTCTGAACGCGCTGATCATTTCCTGCTTTTATGAAACCCCTCCCTCAGAAATACACGATGGGCTCTGATTGGTTAGCTGGCCCAGTGTGTTGTGATTGGCTAAACCGCCTAGTGTGAGTCTAAACGTCCTGCCCCTCACCTCAGCGGCATGTGCTCCGGTTATATTGTAAACAACGGCGTCGTTAATATGGCTTATCAGTTTGAGCCCGATTGAGACGCAGAGGATATTAGTGAAGAGCTGAGGCTGAGGCGGTCTTGAGAACGGCGCGGCCGGCGATTTCAACGAAGGAGCGTACGGAAGGACATGTGACGACCCCGGGCTGGACTCCGCTTCCTCCACGGTGAAAGCCGATCCGGCGATCGACAGCGCAAAGTTGTAGTATTTCTTCAGCGACCAGCACGGATCAGCTCCAGGCATGACGAAGCATAT